CGTGATCGGCTTCAAAAACCGGGGTGCTGCTACATGAGAGAGCAAAGACTGCTTCTGGGCACCACGGGGGATCGAACCTGAAACCCCTACCCCCTAAAGGCGCACTAAACTCCGCATCGCAGCTCTTATGCAAGAAGCACCCCTCTCCTCATTCCATCTAAACTAGACCCTATAAACCCTACCCTAAACCCTAAACCCTAAACCCTAAACCCTAAACCCTAAACCCTAAACCCTAAACCCTAGACTCAAGGCCTTCACACCTCAAGGAGGAGTTTCCATGCAGTAGCTCGCGGACTGACGTGCACACTAGACCCAATTTCCCAAAAGAGTTAGGGTTTAGGGTTTAGGGTTTAGGGTTTAGGGTTTAGGGTTTAGGGCCCAACGCCCTGAACCCTACCCGAAACGCCAAGCCCTTTCTATAGACCCCATCACTTCGACCATGATAAGCCCCAAATCCTATGTTAATCGGTAACGCCACTGGCTATGGTAGAACCCTTGAAAAGACCCTGAAAGGAACCCCCTCACACACACGACCCATAAACCCAAAGTTCATGAGGGCCCGAGCTTCAACCCTGCGAAACCTTTCAAAACAACAGCATTAAACAACAAAACTCTAAGTCAGCAGAGTTGGTACAGCAATAAAGCCTTTTTAAAGCAAAAGCCCAAGTCCCTAAGCCCTAAACCAAAAAACCCTAATCCTCAGCCCTGAAACAACAACTATTAATGCAGGGGCCTTAGTAATTTTAGCAGGTTTCTTTTTTTTTGGGATAATATAGTGATAAAAAAAAGGAACCCCCAACATACGATTCGTAATTATTTAGCCATCTATGTAAAGCCAGAACCCGAGGCTTCGGATGTTCGGCTTTCGGTCTCGGCTCCCACAGCCAACTTATGAGCCAACACACTGCCCTGGGAGTTTCTGGCAAGGAGCCTCTAGGAAGTAGGGATCTAGGGGTGTAGGGTTTAGGGACTTAAGGGGGGTAGGGTTTAGGGTTTAGGGGTTTAGGGATTTAGGGGTGTAGGGTTTAGGGATTTAGGGGCGTAGGGCCTAGGATTTTTAGGCCTCTGGGAAGAAGCAGTTCTTCAAATCCAAGATCGCATGGTTCAAAGACTCCCTCAGCTCTACAACACAGATGGCTCGAATCTCAGCCCGTGCCGTCGTTCGGACAATTCTTCATGTTCAGGGGACTTCGAAATATGTTACGAGTAACATTGCTTTTATTTCTTGTCTTGTTTCAACCGCCACTACGGCTTCGATTCTAATGTCTAATTCTATCAGGACTATGTATTTTATCACTAATACCATTGTTGCGAGTAGTACTGATCTTACGATTTGTGCTGTTGTGACTATGAATCTCAGACTTGTTATTCTTGTTCAGGGATCGGTGGGAGGGCAAAGGGCGGGTCGAGGATGTAGGCTGTGGGCCTTGCTCCAAAAATTGCAGGAAGCTTCGACTTTGAATGTTTGCGAAGACTTTCACTTTCGCTTTGCAAAACTCCCATCTACGCCCTAAGCGTTCCCACAGTGCCCGCCAAAACGTCTGGCCATCAAGGGTCATACCGTACCTTCTCCGAGGCAACCATCTGGATGGTTAGCACTCGCTGGTGATTACTATAGTAATAGAGTTTAGGGTTTAGGGTTTAGGGTTAAGGGTTTAGGACTAAAGTAGTATACGTACTGCTTACAGAAAATGCTTTTCTCTCAGGGCGTTGCTGCCCAGCGTGTTTACATAATGCTTGAAATGATTTGCTTCAGCTTCATCGTGTGGTCATTTTAAAGCGCCTGAGAGATGCAGGTTTCGGCTGAAACCATGCCCAAATAACTCCAAAATATTAGGAACCATATAAGGAGCCCTACAGTAATGGCCCAATGGCCCTAATCTATAGACCCAAGATTTCTTAATCAGTTCCCATATTCGGGGTCTGAGGCTTTAAGTAGAACCCTGAGGCCTCGCACACTCGACGGGCATGGCGGTTCTAAATGCGGGAGGCTTCCCGCCTAAGGATGAGTGCCTGCGCAGCTGCCTCACACTAGTTTTTAGGGTTTAGGGCTTAGGGTTTAGGGCATTTATGGATAATTTGCAATAAGACTTCTCAGATCTCCGAATGGTAAGCATCCTGTCATCCAGCCCAAAACCTTATTGAGAATTTATAGAACCCGACGAGGGAACCCGTATCGAAACCTGCACTCTATTCGATTATTCTACTTACTATAAGGCTATAAGGTCTCTTAAACCCTAAACTTAAGCCCCCACCAAGACACCCTATTCTAATTACCATAAGGCCCTTATGAGATCTCGAAGCTACAGATTTCTTCCGGATATCACGGTTCAAAACGCGCAAAGCACAGCAAATCTTCCTAAGTTCTCAATAGATCAGGGTGCAGGGGCTTCGGATGTAGGGGGTTGCGGTTTATAGGGTTTAGGGTTTTGCAATAAACCTTGAAGCCCCAAGAGGAAAAGTCAAGCCTCGCAGACAAAGGTGCATCAGTGTCTTATATGGAATTTAAGTTTTAGGGTGATATATGGGTGGTTGTCAAAATTATGGTCCCTTTTGGGGTCCTTATTATAATACGGCACCTATTATTTAGAGTACCCCAAAAGGGACCATAATTCTGACAACTACCCATATGTAGTTTGGGGATCAGGGTTTAGGCATCTTCGTGGGGTCAAAGCCCATCCTTTAAGGCCTTTGGACTTACTTGGGCTGTAAGCTTTGGGTTTCGGGTCTGCGGTGTAAGGTGCTGTAAGGTCAAAAAAAGCCCAAGGAGGCGAACATGCAGCTAGAGCTTCTCTTCAGAACGTAATCCCCCGACCTTACTAACAAACACAACTTCAAAGATGTAAACTTAAAAAACGGCTAGGAATGCAAGCTTAATGTAGGGGCCTTAAATAATAGCAATTGTTTTTGTTTTTGTTTTTTTTTTGGGGGGGGGTCCGGTCCTTATAATAGTTATAGGATAATGGGCCCCAAAACCCTCTTCTATTTACAAAGGCCCCTATATCAAATTGGGAACACATTTCAGTAGGATTTAGGACCTGCAGGGTTGACGGTGTCATCAGGATCCTCAACCACAAGAGTTCGTGCTTGCGGTCTCCTGTGACCTGAACGTTAACAAATGCCACGTTAGTCGGATGTTCTCAGGGACCCTGCACAACACCGCTACAGGATCAGCCTAAGACCTGGCCTATATTTTAGGACCCAGAACTATGGCTTAAAGCCTGCAGGCAATCGAACATCGGAAGAGCACCGTCCCTGCTTTGCATGGGAAAGCACACACAGAGCTGTTGCGATCAGCTTGCAACACATTTCACTCTCTCGACTCTCTCGACCAGGAGTGCTACTCAACCGTATGATTACTTCCATCTTCGCCCAAATAGCTGCGACATTATCATCACCTGCTCAAATTCCTCATCCGACGATGATTTCAACCCCTCCTTCCGGATTACGGGTTCGAAGTCTTTCGGGTCGAACCCGCAGAAGGGCCTAGTAATCATGCTTCAATGAACCCTAAACCCTGAACTAAACCCGATGTGAAGCTTCGCTTTAGAAGAAGCCTGCGGCTGTCTCGTCCCAAATTAAAGTGTCCTAAATACCAATAGCGTAGAAAAGTATCCCCCATATAGGTACTTACAACCCTGACTTTCGGGATTACTATCAGATCTTCGAGCTTCTCACTGGTCAAGAACAGCTCTTTCTGTTAAGCGCGGTACGATGAGATGTGCCCAAGAAGATCAAAGGATATCAGCTTAGCTACTAGGAGACATCAGATGTGCAGGATTTCTGGCGCCCTGGTGTCGGAGCAAGTCCATCCAGCTGGACGATTGGGTCGATCATCCCATCATGGCTTACCATGTGATTAAACTGCGCAGTGCGATCTAGCTGCCAGGCGCGGTTCACCTGAAACCTTGTTTAATCGCTGGCGGAACCCTGGTTGCACACTGGTCCGCGTAAAGCTCTGTGAGAAAACGCCCGCCGCTGAAAGGAGCAGTCACGAAGAGGTGGCTAAGGTTCAGCATGTAGGGTTGTCTGCTGAAACATACATAGAGACGGATCTGCACCGCGATAGCGGTGACAGCACTGGCAGATGTAGCACATGGGTATGACCATAACCAATTCATCATGATGCCCAGAATAATGACGGTAATTTTCATGCAACGCTCATGACTAGGACGGGGGTATCTACAACAATCAGTGTAGTGGCGATTGGCGATTGGAACGAAACAAACCACAACAACAAGAATCACCTTCGCAATTCCCTGCACCATCATTACCACAACAGCTAGCAGCTAGACTTTCAGCCACTACTATTACCAGCACCAGCAGCGGCACGAGCACCATCACCATCACCATCACCATCACCATCACCATCACCTTCACCATCATCTTCATCATCATCTTCATCTTCATCATCATCATCATCATCATCCATCATCAGCAGCAACATCAGCATCAGCATCAGCATCATCATCATCATCATCATCAGCAGCAGCATCAACAGCAGCGTCGCAACCACGGCGGCCACTGACGCGTATCAGGAACATGCAACATAATCACGATTATGGCGAAGAAAATGATCCTTTTTGCGATTGTTGTGACTATGGTCAGATCATGATGATGGTGGTGGTGATGATTGAGCGGTCGAGATACGTCTGCACTGGGAGACCTGAAGGCCGAACGTGCGCAAGCCTAGCCTGTGCTCTGCTCTGCCCTGAAATCGAACACCGCACGTTGTCACAAGCGGCCTCGAAGATGTACTCGTCAGAACCACCCAACTACGATCTTTTCGTCGAGTGCTCGCAGCGAGCAGGCTGATGAAGCTGCGCGACGACAAACGAGCAAGCTGGAAAAAAGGGCATACCTAGAGACTCCCAAAACCCCTCAATTAAGGAATATACCTTAAACTATAATAGGATCCCTAATATGATTTAAGGTATATTCCTTAATTAAGGGGTTTTGGAGTCTCTAGGCACAGGCTCTCAAACGAACCTTCAAGGCTCTCAGTCCCATGCCCTGCGGAACTTCCACTTGCCTGCTGAAGGGCCATGGTCTCTGCCACACGGCTCAGGGTTTAGGCGGTTTACGGTTTCCACCCATAATAATGCAAAAAAATGTAGCTTTAGTAACCCTTTGGTCTGAGTGTGATGGAAAGGCCCATCATCAAAATAGTCCCTAAACCCTAAACCTTAAACCCTAAAATAGTACTGTGAATATTGTGCACAAAAGCAAGGAATGGCTCCTAAGGAAAGACAGACTCCTGAGCTTCAGGCTTGTATTTTTGGTGTGGGGCTTTAGGGTTTAGGGTCTAGGGGTGTATTGCCTCTTTTCCTTTCGGGCTTTCGGGCTTTAGGGATTTGTTCCTTGTCATTTGGGGCTTTGCGGGTTTGGAGGGCGGGGGTGTACCGTTTTGAGTTCGCAGGTACTGATCCCATGTTTGCTACTGGTGCCTGTACTCATCACAGAGATTTGAAGCGATGGCAACGGGACACCACGGCAACCTAAACTCGTAGCCCAAAAGCCCTCATCCCAGGAAGCACTCGACCTAGAAGCCCGAAAAGCCCTATTGGCACGCACTGCATTGAGATGCATGACGACCCTGCCAAGCTCTGGGGCTTTCCTTTGATTCCATCTTGCAGCAATATTTGCAATATCACAGAGTAGTGCTGCTGCGATTCTGAAGTACTCTACATGGTGTTAAACGTCATCATGATGATGTTCATGGCCCGAGACTCTGAGGCCATGGATTGCCATACATCCTAATCTCAGGACTTGGGGCCTCTAGGGTCTTGTAGGAAGTTGACGTTGCGCAACGTATCGGGCCTGTCTGCATCGCGGGGTGTGCCGTCAAGTTGTAGGTCGCAAAGCCTGCACGTGAGATCAAATTGGGCTCGGACTTCAAGAAAGGGGGCTGAAAAATAGGCCTTTATACTGCAAAGATACTATAAGTATCGTCGACATCCGAAGGAACAGGGTTGGTAAATATTCAAGGATCAACATTGCTTGGGGGCTCGGGAGGTGCGGAGGGACCAGCTGCCATCCCCCATCACTCCCGGCTCCATCCCCCCCTCCCCCTCAAATCCGAAATCTTAAACCCCAAATCCTAAACCCTAACCCGCCCCCTCTCACCCTCCCCCGGCCCCCTCACCCCCAGCACGACTTGGCAAGGGGTCCCGCAGGATTGAGCCGCACTACTTTGCTGTTGGGAAGTCTCTTGGCTGGTGTGGTTTCCTGCTTTGGGTTTCGGAAATTGTAGGGTTAAGGCAGTGAAGGTTTTTCTTTCGTTTTGCACTCGGGGCTTCAAAATGCGGTGTTTCAGGCTCTAACGAATTTCAATCTCATCACAGGCATTAACCTTGCCTTGCTCACGCTCGATGTCACGAATCCGTCTGATGAACCTCAGAACCAAGCTTGATACTCAGTTTGCTGTTCGGTTCGGATAGTCCGCTGATCAAGCCTCAGAGTTCACGCGAGGGTCTTTGTCTAAGGCTCATGTTCAACCGCTCTGGGTCAATGTTTCAAGATGTAGGGTCCGAGGCTCAGCGCAAGGGACGTTCTTGTTGGTAGGAGCCTTGGTTAAGCAAAGAAATTTTACATGATCAAGTTCAGATCTCGATTCAGGCTATTCAGGTCCAGGATAAATAGAAGGCCATAGAACGTGTTGAAGCAGTTGTTCCAATGATGCGCGTAACTACAATAGCTAAAGGTATCTGCCAGGTACCGTACACCCTGCCTCTGTAGATCTAAGATTTAGGCTGCTACAAGCAGAACAACGATCCCTAGATTGATTTTAATGAACGGGTTGTACGTTGACAGGTTTAGGGGCTGATGCTTCCCACCGTCAATGTCTTCTCCCAAGTCGCCGTACCATAGGTTCTAGAATCTCAGACAGAGGAATCTCGGTCTCGATTGTGGTATTTAGGACTCTGTCCGACTATCGAGCTTTCTTGTGACTGAATTGGGTGGCCTTAATTTTCCCTTACCGGGCTTATGTATGGTGTGTGTGTGTGTGAGTGGGTACAAAATTGGGGGATCATACATGCCACTGTCTAGTGGCGTAGGCCTAGGGACGGCTGTTCCAAAGTTTGAGAATCTCGCTAGCCCTACGTCAAGACCTCGGGAAATGAGGTGCTTAGGTCTCGGGCAGAACTCGCTCGAAAAGCCACCAACCCCCAAACTCCATCAAGCCAACGGCTTCAAGCTGAAGGCTAGTACATCTAAACGGTTTAGAGTTTAGGGTTCAGGGCCCCTGCATCCTTTGTTACTTGTTTGTCCCATGTGAGGCCCCCGACTGAAGGTTCTGCTCCACCCAGATTTCCTCGGCATCCGCAAGATCCTGGTAGGTTAATGCAGGGCTCTGGGTTCTGTTGGGGTATGAGAGCCCGAGTCCACAAAACCCCATTGAAACCACAAGCCCTAAACCCTAAATCCACACAGAGACCTCGCAAACAAAAGTCCGCAGGAGATCCCGTTTTCCATGCACTCAGTGATCCGAAAACACGGGCGCTAATAAACGAACGGGGTTTCGGGATCTATTAATCTATTACAGTGCCATTGTGAGAAACAGAACACGGATTTTCAGGAACCATAGTGCTCTTTTTTCGGGCATCTCTATTATTCACAAGGGTCTGCATCCTGCCTGCGTGGCCGGCAGAGGGTTGAGGCCGCTACTGGCAAAGAGCCTATGTCCAGGTGCATCCCCGCTGTTGGCCTCTGGGCTGGCCGCGAAGGAGAGGATCAGGGTTTAGGGTTTAGGGTTTCGGGTTTAGGGTTTAGGGTTTAGGGTTTAGGGTTTAGGGTTTAGGATTTAAGGTTTAGGGTTTAGGGTTTAGGGGGGGAGGAGGGGTCAAGGTTGGAGGCGTTGCTACTCGTTAGACTCTAGATGTACTCAGGCGGCGGAGGGGTTCTGATCGTAAAGCTCGGAGCCACACCTTGCAATGCTGAAACCTGTGGCTAAGAGCCACGACCATTTTATTGCACTTTTGCTAGGCTCTCCTACCTTACGATACTCAAAAGTGATAACATGTTTTTGTTTATATATTTCTTGTCTTGTCTCACCCGATCTTGCCTTAGCTTATCTTAGCTTATGTTAAGGATACCAATTATAATATTAATATATAGTAGAGTATTTTACATTATTCTGATAATATGATAGCTATAAAGCTATGGGGCGTCGGCTTCGCGTTCTGACTCAAGAGCCTTTGGGTCCATGGCCGTGGATACCCGAAGGTGACCCGAAACCCTCATCCCAAAAAACAAATGTAGGGGCTTCAATAATCACCTTTACAATTTTTTTGGGGGGGGGTCGTCATTATATTTATAGCATAATGGGCCCCAAAACGCTCTAATTATTAAGACCCCTATATATACCTTCTAGAACTTACATCCCAAACCCCTATCCCGAGCGTTGCTGTGGGAAGAGCTCTCCGCGTTTAAGGTTTTAGAGTGGTGGGTTTAAGAGCTAAAGCCGTTTAGGCTTAGAGTGTATCCGTACATTAAGGAGCTTTGTATTCTTCAGTTTTTGGCTTTGGCCAGGGACTGAAGCGACTTTCTCGAGGGCATGAGGTTCAGTTCCGGTGGATGGCAAATGGGTCGCCAAGCTAAGACAACCACAACAGAAGCAATAGTAAGAATGGTTAACACTACTGGTAGCAGCCTTAGAAACAAGAGCTCAAACCAGCAACCATCGGCAAAGAAACACGAATAATTGAGTTCCGCAGGATTTGTAGCATACAAACACAGCAACAAGCCCGTACAACCTACAACTCAGGATCCGGGGCTTAATGACACGAAACAGAAATGCTAGTAAAACACAATGCCGGGAAAATGACAGAATGTGGTGAACATGGCAGCTTCCAGAACCCCCAAGACCCCCTGGGCTACAGCAAACTATTCAGATACAAGGCACCATTATGGGTTTGAGGCACAAAAGTCGGGACCTGGTGGAGCCCGGTGGAAGGTCCCTTCGCCAGATGTTTCGGGTTTAGGGTTTGGTGGAAGATGCCCTCCCAACAATACTGAAGCAAGCTCGATGCGGCACAAGACGTGCTAAACAATCAAGCTTCAACACCCTATGGATCGTTACAGTTATGTGTATGTATGTATGTATGTATGTCTGTCTGTCTGTCTGTCTGTCTGTCTGTCTGTCTGTCTGTATGTATGTATGTATGTATGTATGTATGAATCATGTATGCGAACATATATATATATATACACTTAGAGAGAGAGAGAGAGAGAGAGACATATCCTAAACTCCGACTTCTAGTCCTAAAAGACCTTCAACCTCCTACCTCATACCTCCCAACCCAGACTCTAAACCTACGAAAAACCTCTACAGAACAAAACCTGCACAAAACCTCTATACCTCTAAGAACAAAACCTGTACAACACCTCTATATAACAGGGAACCATCTGTTTCCAAAGATCTATAGAACAAGAAACCCTTATTGTTTCTGTTCTGTTGATAGACCGCTCCACCGGGCTGCCGAGCTGGGATTGCTTCGGACAGTTTCGTAAAGAGCGGCGGGCAGACCCCCTGCCTCACGGTCTCATGTGGCGAGTGGTGGGGGGTAGTGGGGGGAGGGAGTAGTGTTTAGGTTTAGGTCCACATTATATGCGGATGGCTTATACTGCTTTGCGTGCATGTTTGATATCACAGGGCTCCGGGTTCTGGGCGCAAGGCGGTTAGGGGCTCAGAGCAACAGTGCTTAGATGTAGAGTTTACCTTGAGGCTTGGCACAACTAACTGTTGTGGATTTACCTCTGACTTCCATCATGTTTTCGCTGCTGCCCTAAATCCTCACAAACCCCAAGCCCTAAACCCCAAGCCCTCTAATATAGAGGCCTTACTAATTAGAATAGGGTTTTCGGGTCCACTATACCATAGTTAAAATAAGGAACCTCGAAGAAGTATAGGTAATTGGGCCCCTATATTAGGCTTCAGCGGTGGTGGTTCTGGGCCGGAGCTCCAGGAGTTGGCCTGGATCTTGGTTTAGTGTGCTGGGGGTTTAGGTTCGAGGGATTAGGGCCTGTAAGGCTTAGAAAAGCTTAGGAAGCTTTTAAGGCTTGCAGGGCATGGACAATTTCAAGAGCCATTGCGTTAACTTTCTGCAGCCCATATCTCTTGCAGGCCCCCCCCGCACCCGGAACCGGACAGGGTTTGCTTGAGCCGAGAATCCGGATCCTCACAACATACCCCCCTAAACCCCACACCCCAAACCCTAAACCCTAAACCCCTCTCAATCACCCCACACTCGCATACACACAGAAGCCCAGGCTCCGCGCGTTTGGATCTGCCTCGGGCGTTCTTTTTATGGCACTCAAAAAACATGACATCTCTGGCTTTAGGGTTTAGGGCTTTAGGGGGTTTGGAGTTCAGTTCCAAACTCAATGATCCCGACAGTCTTTGAAACACTTCCCCAGTGTAAAGCTTCTTGCCCCCCTGAGCCCTGCAACCCGAACCCTAAACCCTAAACCCATTTCAACCCTAAAGCCTGTAAGCCTTTACCATACCTTCATGAAGAAACCCTAAGCCCCGAACCTAAACCCCTAAACCTTGAACCCCTAAACCTTAAACCGCCAAAACCGTAAACCCCGAATCCCCAAACCCTAAACCCCTAAACCTTACACCCCTAACCCCTAACCCCTAAACCTTAAACCCCTAACCTCTAAACCCCTAAACCTTAAACCCTTAGCCTCTAAACCCCTAAACCTTAAACCCTTAACCTCGAACCCCCTAAACCCTAACCTCGAAACCCTAAACTTCATTCAGCCCAGCTTCAGCCACACGGTGCCGTGCCAGGTCACGGGACGGGCCATAAACCGAGTCCCAGCTCGGAGTAGACCTCGAGCTGATGAAGGGTAGTGTAGTTATATACATATATAATGTATATACATATAGATATATCTTATAAATATATCTTACATAATATGTATGTATATATATATATATGGCTTAGTGTAGGGTTGAGGGGTTAGGGCCAATTCAGGTTTCAGGGTATATAAATACATTACTACTATCTTTATATAGGGACGACAAACAGGATGCTGCCTGCAATATTCAATTCCCTACACTAGGGCTGTCACCTTGCAGTGACGGCAGCAAACGACTGCAATCAACACGACAAAGACGAGCTATATATCATGATGGCGATGGTGATGAAAAACGACGATGGTTGCTGGCGATGACATAGTGTTGATCGACGACAACAATGACAACAGCAGCAACAAGGAGGAGCGGAGGATGCTTATATATTGGAGTGGTTAGAGTGGCAGCAGCGATGGCCATGAAGGTGAAGTTGATGACCATGAGGATAGTGATGATGATAGCTGTAGTAGTTATGACTATGGTGTTGAAGAAGTGTTTGTTGATCGTAACGATGACTCAGATCGTTGGTTAAAGACGAACAAACGCACACGTAAACATTGTGGTACGCTGTTGATGACGATGACGATGGCGATGCCAATGATGATGCGGGTGAGAAGGACCATGATGATAGCGGTGACGATCATGTCTGCGATGCTGCTGATGTTACCTTATTGCTGTTGCCGTTTGTTGAGTTCTTGATGATGATTCCGACAGTTGTGAGATGATGATGATGATGACGGTGATGGTTATGGATATTGCGTGCTATGACAGTGGTGATAGCACAACGACCAACTACAAGAATTGCTTCTACTAGCAACTGCGCTGTGGCACCTGGTTCACCTGATTCCATTTTCCCAGCACCTACGGTTTCGGCAAAATCTCTCCGATTTGACAAGACTTCGGATGCAAGATCGTGTGGCTTCAGCTCTGCGGCCCTGGACATTGTAAGATTGATTTAGTATATTGGGGCTCAGGGTTTGGGGTATATTGTAAGATTGAAATACGAAATAGAGACCACACCACTCATGTGCGCAGAACCGGCGAGCCTGAAACCTGGACCGAGAGTCTAAATGCGAGGTCCAGAAGCCCTGAACCCCGAACCTTTAGCGAACCTTGACACCTAAAAGGCTGGAACTCTCTATCCGAGGCCCATAGAGTGTCACTGCACTACAACACTGTATGGTTCTCAGCAAGCGAACGGAGAACTCTATCGCGAAGCTCTGGACCCTCAACCGTTACCCGGCCTCCATGAACCCGTAACCCCAACATGCAGTCAAGGCGCCCAGAGCCTTCGACCTGGCAGCAAACAAAGACGGAGCTCAGTAGGCTCCAGGTCTTACATGTCCTACGGGTTGCCCTCTGATTCTGATGGGAAGTTGTTGAGGAGTTGCTGTTTAGGAGCTTGCGCTTGCTTGTGATGGGATCTTGATGTTTGAAGCGGGCGTTGGCCGCGATGCGGGCTACGATTCAGGATGGCATGCATGCTGAAGCTGCCAGGCGATAGCATTGGAGCATGCAGCGCGTAAGGTTCGGGGTCAGGGAGTGTCTAGTCTCCGCGATTGGGGTTTAGGGTCTGGCTGCCGTGAGACATGTTCGAACTGCCCTTTTGGTACATGCATTGCGCAGTTTGGGGCCGAGGGTTGCCTAGGAGCGCGCCCTTTACACCCTCCTAGAACCCAGTTTGCAGCCTGGCCGCACAGCTTCGGTCCAGAGCCTAAAACCCAGATCATGAGCTCTGCCATCATGTTTCTTGAAAACCTTTATGAACGTGGTTCTCCTTCCGTTTCGAGCGTGCAGTTGAGCTCACATGCCCAAAGCTAATAGATCTTTCAGTAGTCTATAGT